TTTTCGTAGATATCGTTTGCGAAAAAAAAACATTTTTTTTTAATATTTAATTCAAAATTTAAAACAGAACCAATTAGTTCAATAACTTCAATTAATGAACTATTTTCTTAAATTGCAAAACGTCCCCTCTACTATTAGATATTGTACTGACTTTTGAGCTGGTGCAAGACCAAAGCGTATGAACAACTAAGTTTCAACATCTAAAACATTTCAGATATTACAAAATCGCCACTTTTGTTCCATACTTTAAGTGCAAATTGATAATCCAGAGTAATACCGTACATGGAAAATGTCATCGGTTTCAAGGAATTCGCCATGAAAATTAAAAGAACCTTTTTATTTCTTTTGTCCCAAAGATACCAAGAACAATTCGTCAGAGTATCAAAAACAAGACTTGTCTAAAAACTTAAAATTCACTCAAAATCACTCTGAATTTTGTATACATTTTCACTGATTTGTTGACCAGCTGTAGAAAACATTCCAATAATTGCAGCACAAAAAACAACCACATACACTGATCGAATTTTGGTAATCGTGCTGGCAGATTCAAGAGTCTAAAATTTTTTGTAATGATAAGTAGACTAAACAATTTAGGTGATTACATAAAGGAAATTATATAGAATCGCAATAAAACCTAGAACACCTAAAATCAGAAATATCGGCATTGATACTTTCACCAAATCACAAATTTCCTTCAAACATCTGGAACAAATCGATCAAAAATTTTCTCATCTTGACTGATGGATTCACCTTTTCAAATCTGCATGATGTTTCGTACATTGGCGCAATTTTGCAAATATTTTCTTCTGGTACTTGAATCTACCAATGTCTTTATCGTGTGATAATTGAACGATTTGTTTATTGAGTAAAAAAATCTGCAAATCAATTTTTAAAATTCCGTACAATAAAAGAGCCGGCTGTCGAAGTTCAGTAAATGCCACCATGGGACCGGTGCAAAAAAAAAACAAATCCACTATGCCAGACCAATCTCCAAAATAGTCCACAGACATTCGGCAACTCAACCACCATTCCTTTAAATCGCCAAAAATTGGAAGCAGGATGATCATAGAAAACGGCAAAAGAGCACCAAAGCCATAAAGTACCATATTTGTGAATAAATATCGTTTGTTAATCTCGACTTTTATTCCTTTACCACCGAAACTTATCGGCCAAGACACAGTTTCCAACAGGTTGTTCATTTCAAAAATTCTTTTTTCCATAATAATGGAAAAAATCATGTTAACTATGATCTGCAACAAGTGTGAAATTTTTGATTCCCAATCGATAACTTACATAAAAAGAAATTATCATTGATGAACTGTATTGCAGTAGCACATTCAGGGAGAAATACTGAATCATGTAAAAACTATCCAACGCAAAAATCACCAAGTGGACTATTAGTGCAAGAACATTGCAAAGTTTCATAAATTTATGATAACCAATGTCTAGAAAAATCCATCTTATTAATATAAAAGGTCCAGCTTTTTTGAACGTTTCCACTAATGCAAAAGGGTCTGAAATTTTGAACGTTTTTATTAACACGAAAAGGTTTGAATTGGTGTCCATTTTCGCGCTCAATTGACATGTTAATCCGATGACCGTTTTTATATAAGGGTCATTTTTTAAAATTTCATAAAGCAAATAAAAGCATGTGTAGAAGTTGGAATGGTACAAGTTTTAATGTAATGATCAATAATGAGGCCTATAATGAAGGGAATAATGCCCTAGGGCATTAGAAGTTGCTACAATTTGTTTCCCAAGACATTGCATATTCATAAACTACTTCACTTATTTTTTTGTTTTATTTCTTTTCTGACTAATGATGAACAAGTAAGACACATTTTTTGTACCATAAGCGTTACTTAATGTCTATTATTACTAAAAATTTCTTTACTTGTTTTGGTCGTTTAAACTTGAATATTGAAATGAGTATTATTTGCAAGGTTATGAAAAACAGTATAAAAAACAAAACAAAATATTAAACTAAAGAGCATTAAATTAAATATTGTTTAGAATTTGTTGATTACAAAAATTTCACGTTCTAAACCAACACTAACTTTAAAGTTCCTTTAATTCGATTATGAAACTGGCCCTAAATCAAAAAAAGTAAATCATTGGTGTTAACGAAGAGTGTTGAATTAAATTTTAAAATTAATTTTAGTAGAAATTTAATTACGAGTAAAATTTCAAGGGTGCAATTTTAGGTAAAGTTTAAAATTTGACAGATTTCTAAGAAATATTTGTTATTATGAGGTATATCAACAAAATTGTAAATTTTCTATGCATATTTAATGTTTTTTGATTAAAATAAGCCAAGTAAAAAATGCATATTTTAGTGAGAATTACTAAAATGTTGCCGAAAAGACCAACAATATTCGCATTTATAAAGAATCCAGTGCGATATCCAAATAGACGGAGTAGTCATTTTGACTCATAGAAATTTGTCAAAAATAAAAATACCATTACTATGTTTCATTAATAAAAACAAAATATTTTAATATCCACGTTATCTATGAAATGTAATGTTGGTTGCTTCAAAAAAAATTCAGGCTCATTATTACTCGTGGAACAGCCTGTATTGTTAAAAGATTTTACCAAATTTTATTAGATGACAAACTTGGTAATGTAGTGAGAATATACAGGATGCGCCAGAACTCGCGCCCCAGAGAAGAACTTAGCACTTTGACTCTATTTATTTCTGTTGGAAAAATAATTTTCCAATTTTTTTGCTATAGGCTATTAAAAGAAGAAACAAGGAAGCTGTGTCCTAAATTGTAACTCTGTTCAATGTTATTTGTCGCTTTTATTGGCAAAATTTTGGTACCTTTACTAAATAATTGTAAAAAAACATATACAATATCATCAGTATCATTAAACGTCAAAAAATTTTGACAGATAGATTTTTTTAAACACTTTTTCCATGTTCCTTAAATTTTTTCTCTGGGGCGCGAGTTCTGGCGCACCTGTATAGTCTTAATTTTTTTAATTTTTTTGTTTAACAATATTTTTTATTCTAATTTTAAACCTATTCAGACAAGACTGTTGATATATTTTTTTTATGTTACCAGTTATTATCTTGATCCATCAATGAAAAGTCATTTTGGGGTGTCTTAAAACAAGGAATGTAAGGTTTTTTGGGTGCTTTTAATGTAATTATGTTTGATTTTGGATGATTTTCAACAGTTTTCCCAAGTGCTCATTTTCTGGTGGTCTATTGATTTTTGAGTATTTTTGGGCGCATAAAAAATTATAATTTTTGAAGGATTTTTTTTCGGTTGTTTACTTTTGGGAAAACATACATACAAATATACCTTTTTTGCATGGCTTGGTCCAGAAACGAAAAGCCATTAGGAATGTCTAAAAACAACGGATTTTGTAAGTTTTTTAGAGTGCTCTTGTGATAATTTTGGGTGATTTTTATCATGTACCCAATTTTTGGTGGTCTACAGATATTTGGTACTTTTGGGGTGCATAAAAATTGGTGCTTTTTTGAGGATTTTAGATCCTTTTCAGTTGTTTTCTTTTAGGAAAACAGCTAAATTTTTAGAGTTCTGCCTTGTTTTTTGAAGACGCCAAATGTCCTGGTCCAGAAATAAAAATAAAAACAAGGCATTTTGTAAGTTTTTTAGATCTTTTTCGGATGTTTACTTTTGGGAAAACACTAAATTTGTAGGACCCTTCCTTGTTTTTTCATGTGGAAATTTTTGGTGGTCTACAGATATTTGGGGGCATAAAAATTAATGCTTTTTGAGAGGTTTTAAGCCTTTTTCGGTTGTTGACTTTTGTTGTAGGATTCTGACTTGTTTTTTAAGACGCCACATGCCCTGGTCCAGAAGTAACATTCAACTGAACTTATTTTTAAACGATGGAATCTAACTAGAGAACCAAATATACAAATGCTTTTTCCTACGAAATAATAAGATAATTGAAAAATTGCTTGTTTAACAAACATTAATAAATGTCACTTGACCTTGCAATAACAAGATCCACGTGAAATTAACAAATTTACGCTTGCCACTCACCATGCAATACTAAGAGATCTCGTGTACCTCTTCCCGGTCAAAAAAATCACTTTATGCACCGGCAAACTGGCCCTCCTGTCACTTTTCGTACTTTCCTCCTTCGTCATCGCCAACAACAAATCAGTAAACCGCACATACATCAGTCTCGACCGTTTTGCTAAATTACAACTAAACAATAATTCGTTCCGTCCGCATATACCACTTAATACCTGGTTATTTGTACTTTGATTAACCAACACAATATATTATAATCACTTGGTTAAATATTTTGTCTCTTTGAAAGACTATCACAAAGGTTATCATATTTTGGCACTTACCCATTAAGGAGCGCGGGGTCAGTTGACGGTTTTACGTCTTCCAGATCTGATCCATCCTCGGTGCTGGGCGGATCTTCCACGAGAAGGGGTGCAGGGGGCTGCCTATAAACAAAACGGAAATTTTTCAATTTTTTGAGCATTTGCTTGACCAACACTAATTTATTACATGCCATTCGATTTTTAAGAACGTGTAATCGGAGTTGTGTGATTTATCATAGTTTTTAGGGAAAAGTGCAGGGATATGTGGAGGTGATTGTACATTGTTTATTGTAATTAACAGAAATTAACAGTGATTGCCATTGTTTTATGAATAAACTATGTACAATATGCCAGGGCCGTAACCAGGATTTTATTTCGGGGGGTTTCTTAAATTGAAATAAGAGAAATACAAATCAACTCACAAAAGTAACAAAAAATAAAATAAATTTTTAATACTTTTTATTGTTACAAATTTAAACAGGAGATAGAATATTCATTTTTAAAACAAAAATTTTCTATGAACATATATCGAAAAATGCTACGCAATAATAGCTTTTTGTTCAATATTTCCGAAATTATTTTAGAAAAAAATTTCAAAATTTGGTACAGATGATAACTTTTATACACCTAAACAAGTACAAAAATAAAATGTTGAAATTTTTAATTAGGGGCTTCCTAAACTAGATGGGATTAGGGTAAAAAATTTACTCTAACTATATTGCCTTGGTTTCTTGCCACTTTCAGCAACAAAATTTCATAGTTTTTCATAAAAAAAGATCTTTTGTGTTTCTCCGATACAATTTACGGATTTTTAGTAAAAATCGGTTTAAAAATTTATGTTACAGACCATAAACAGCATAAAAATTAAAAATTAAACTTGTTTTACCGTTTAGGACGCCCCTGATTAAAAATTTTGTTATTTAGCATTTGTTTAAGTGTACATTATAAAGGTACCAAATTTTGTAATTTTATCTATTCTGAAATATTAAGAAAAACCCTTTAAAAAACATACCTTTTTAGGGGGTGTAGCTCCCTTTCATAGCATTTTTCGAAACACTTTTGTCTTAAAATTAAATATTCTATCAACTATTTAAATTTGTACCTAACAATAAAAATGAAACACTGAATAATTAACACATGAAAAATTAAAATTAACTCACTAAAATAAGAAAAAAACTAAATTTTTAACACTTATAACACTATATAACAAAGTGCTCAGCATTTCGGAGGGGGTTTGAACCCCCTAATCCCCCCCTTGGGTACGGCCCTGCAATGTGCTTCAGTTGTGTTCGAAAATGTCTAGTGCTTGATTGTAGGAATTAAAAAAGTACAACAATACATACAATAGAGTTCACATTTTTAAACAAACTAAAATTTAAATTTTTTCAAGAAGGAAAAACTCTACTGTAAATATTTTGTCAAATGTGACCTTGAAGTTTTTGTAGAACTGATAAGTTCTGTGAAAATATTTTTATGTCCTACAAGATTTTTTACATCACATCACAATAATGTGATACCTGAGCGGCATGTTCCCCTACTCTTTGGTCATCAAATATCTGAAAAGAAGAGCCAATTTATTGTCGATGTCGTTTTTCATATAAAAATACAAAAATAATTGAGAAATATGACCTTGAGTATTTAATGTCTTGTTTGTTAAATACACGTAAATAAGGAAAACAACTTTGAGAATTATAATATTTAACCTGTTATACAGGGTGAATATAAAGTATGGACCCAATGATTTTTTTTAATTATTTGCCTCCAAAAAATAATAATTAATATAAATTAAAGTAACATAACCCTATTTTGAGAACGGTTGTTTTGTTTTTGAGTTATACCATTTTTTTGTCAAAATTGCAATTTGTGTAATAATCATGAGAAAAACGGTTTTACAGTGGTTTGCCATTGAAAAAAATTAAAATTTTTGTATAAGTAAAAAATAAAAAAAAATCGAAAAATTTTATTTATGAGGAACGTTAAAATTTTATAGTACTGTTATTGTAAAGTAGCACCGTTATAACATTTGATCTNTATTTTATCATTAATCAATTAGTTGTTCCAAAAAATAAATAGTAAATAGTAAACAAAAAACGTTTGGTTCATACTTTTTATTGACCTGGTATATAGGTAATTATTAGTGAATAATCAGCTACAATAAAAAAAAAGAAAATACAAAAATACATACAATAAGGTTTACTTTAATCTGTAGATTCTGACGACCTGTACTGATAAACGAAAAACCTTTTTCAATTATTTAATTTCAATCATCCTTAAGTTTTTTCATCATTTTGGAAAAAAAAACATTTTAGAAGTCATAATACACAAAAATAGTATGCCAAATTAAAATTTTCGCCAACAGCCTCAAAAACATAAATTTTTAAATGTAGCTTACGCGCATCAAATAGTATATTACACAACAAGCACAGAACATGAAAAATAATGCACAAGTCGAAAGCCCCACGAGTGCGTCCGACACTTCCCAGAGAGTTTTATACACTATTTTTCAATCAAAAAAAAATAATGGCCAGATGTGAGAGTTTTTGTAACAATATAACATAAAAACCCATGGAAATAAAAGTTATAACCGTGCGTTATAATAACGTACGAATTTTTGACAGATGAATGAAATTGTCAACTTTTATGCCTACACAATTGTTTGAAATTGACATCTTTCTTCTAGTGTCGTAAGAAAAAAGTTTTTTGCTATTTCGGTGTCACAATGAACGTTTTGTGCAATTGAAAACAAAATGCAATTTTGTGACACTGTTTCTTGGCCACATTTTATGCAATATTTTGGCCATCACTGGCCATAGATTGTCGTTTTTAAGTAAAAAATTGTTGCAGTTCAACGTATTTCACCGAAAATAATGCAATTTAAGCTATTTTTGAGCCATTTGGGTACCGCATACAAGTGTCAAAAGTTTTAACTGTCAAATATAATAATAAATTCAATTTAAAAAAAAACAGTATAAAAACGCGTATACTGTATATACTGTAGTTACACCGACTCTAAATTTTTTAAACTAATAGGGAAAAAACGCTGGATTTTGTACTTTTTATTTTTACAACTAAATTTTTAACTTAATTAAAAAAAATAAGTTATTTTATTGAGCTATAATAAGCTTTCTATAAAACTGATGTTTTTTTTAAATATACTAGTAATGTCTTATGACTTTTATTTAGGAGAAATTATTAATGATTTATTCTAAGCATAAAAAATATCAAAATATCCATATATACAATACAACCCAGCTCACTTTGTAATGTCCACCCTCAATTATTATAAAAAATAATACCAACTGTCTTATTTTTTTCCGATTTTCTACTTCTTTCAATCCCTGAAGGAAATAAAGAAACAGAGCTTTAAATGATACATAAATTTCAATTTTCAATTCCAAATTTCAATGTCAATTTTAAATGTCCCGCCAATTGTGGAATTTTTTTGTATATCAAAGGAGCAACGTTTTTTACTAAAAAGCAACTGGGAACTAAATGATTACTAACACTAACCGTGATATTATTACAAACCGAAAAAAATTACATACAGGGAGAGTAGATTGATGTTGATAGCTTTACAATTAGTAAGGTTATGTGTTGTTATTTCACATCCTTTATTTACCAAGGGTCATACAATTTTAATATTAACAAACTAACTAAAAAAGTATTGAGGGTCATTTTTTTAACAAAACCGACGCTCTTTTTGCATTTGACACTTATTTCATAAATTTCATAAAATAGTAGATATAGGAAAACTTCACTTCGCCTCACATTTTAACTGACCTCGAGTTTCGCTCTCGGCTGCAAGAACGCTCTTCCTTACTCAGTATGTAATATACTATTTATCAACTTAAAATTCAACATATATTCTGCTAACATATCCCACCGGATTTTAATTAGTAGAAATATTAATAACTTAAGGATAATTAATAATTTTTGACAAAATTTCACAAACTTTTTTCTAAGCAGTGTTGATATATTTTTTTTCTTGTTCGATATACTAATTATAATAATAACATATCTGAAAAGAAAAGTTATTGCAACGTTGTGCTTTATTGTTGTTTAAAACAAGAAATATGTAATTTATTTGCTGCGCTAATTACGACCTCTTTAAATTAATCTCATTTGAGTTTATTGCGACAATTAAGTACCATAATTACCATTTAGCATTTACATGTTTTGTTCATTACTATCCACAGCAGTTATACCAACCTTACGTTACGACAAATAGTATTGAACTTGATTACAGGTGATTTAATAGTTACGTTAATGACAGGAAATTTAGTTATACTTATGAGAGCATCCACGAATCTTATTTTTGGGCCCACCTCATGTCATTCATATTGAACGTTGTACAGCACCGGCTTTGAAAAATTCCCAGTCACACAAACCGGCGCAAAACGACTGAAGAAGCCATAATTAGGTAAGTCGAAATCTCGCACAAAAATAGTTTCATTTCAGAAAATACGTGACCGAAATACTGAGAGTTATTTTTACAAAGTTGGTCGAAGGGACACTAATAACGCACTGACGAGCTCATGTTGGATCTAATTGGATAATAGCCGCGTTTGAATCCCAACAATCCAAGGTTCATAAGAAGGATAATAAACGTTTTTTGTGGCACAACTTCGCTGAATGTAAATAGAGTGGGCGGATTCTCGAGTTTGATTGTTTGTCTTTTGAGAAATAACGAGCAAATGAAAGAGGACGACACAAAGGAAATGAGAAATGTTTTCGCGTTATTTGCCAGAGAAAATGTTTGAGTTGGAAAGCGTTTCACTATTTGGTCGATTTTGATAACCTTTCAAGGTAATTTGTTAATTTGAGTGATGACTACAATATTATGATGAGCTTTTCTGCACTATACTATGATTAAAAGTTTTTTTACTTAAATGAAATACATTCTCAATCAAAATTAGTGATTGTGCCCAACCGCAAATTAATTTTTGATTGTGTGGGTTTAATATTTTTAAAAATAGTTTCTGTATTATTGGTTGCCTACATCACTGTAAAGCAATATCGACCACACATAATTGGAATTAAAGAAAACCAACTTTCTGAAGGACTTATCAAATATTAATTATAAATAAACTATAGCTACCTTGAAAGGAAAGATTTATAAACTT